AGAGGGTGCATGTTGTACCTCTTAGCTAGGCGTAGGAAGCATCTAGCAACATGGGACAAAGTACTACTTGTGCCTTATCCTATAGGAGACCGAAAAATAAAAAAAAGTATAGTGATTTTTTATTTTTTATGCAGAACTCCAGGCAGAAGCCAAAACTACCTTTTGCTGTGGGGTTCCCCTTGCACTGCAAGGGTTAAGTGCTTGTTTTTGTCTTGGGAAATATTAAAAATCAGTTTAACATACCTTATCCCTTTCTCTGGGGCGCCCAAAGCTCATCTCTTCACTAAGACGCTCCGAGCTGTGGGTAGTCCCTTGGCATCCTTGTTTATGGTTGTATATGGCTCTCCAGGTGCAGAAAACCACTGGGATTGTTACGCTAGACCAGGGGTGTCAAACTGGCTGCCCTCCAGCTGTTGCGAAACTACAAGTCCCATCATGCCTCTACCTTTGGAAGTCATGCTTGTAACTGTCAATCTTGCAATGTCTCATGGGACTTGTAGTTTGGCAACAGCTGGAGGGCCACCAGTTTGACACCTGTACGCTAAACCATATTTGCGCCGCACACTGTCCACCTCCATTAGCAGCTTATACTTGTCCCAAAAGATACACAAGTATTTAGATGTACAGGATGTAGATGATGCATAGAAGAACATTGAAATTTTAAATCGGAGTTCCGCCTGGAAAAAAAAACTGTAGCTACTGACTTTTAAAATACATACACTTACCTGTTCCTCGGTCCAGCAGTGTCCTCACCACCGCTGGTTTCACCGGCCGTCTTCTCTCCCTGGCACCGGCATCTTCAGTGTGGGCACTCTGCTGTGACAGTTTGCGGCTTCACAGCCGGGTGCCCACTGCGCATGCGTGAGAAGCGTTGTACTTTGTGAATGGCCACTTAGTCTTCTGGGACCTGTCACGTCTCCCAGAAGACTACAAGGAGGGAGGGTAGGACAACTTCCGCTTCCGATTGCCTAGGCGATCGCAGCGGAAGTGGGAGCGGGTACCTGTCATATTCTGGTACCCACTCCCCAAAGGTACCAATCCTTAGCGAGGGACAAAGGCTTAAAGCAGAACTTCCCCTTTTGGGTGGAGCTCCTCTTTAAGTGCATTCTAGCTAAAGTTAATAAAACCAAAGCACACCTTTTTTTATGCAAGTTGCTGACTCCGGGTACAAGGCACTCATATCATTCTGGGAGTAAAGGTCACATTTTATGCTGCGGAAGGGAGTTTAAATGATCAAGCCATCCCTGAGAAGTTCAGGGTTAGTAGGACAACAGACACTTTCTTAAAGGTCATTATCTGATTGCGGAGGTCTGGTCTTCCACCTTTCTCTTTTTAGCACTGGTTCACACTGAATGCAATTTTAAAGTGGTGTGATTTAGTCCCATTTAAAGCGCAACTTCAAAGTAGCGCTGGTATAGACGCAGGTGCTATTTCAGTGCCATTTACCTTATAGTCTGCAAGTTAAATCGCACCGAAATGGTGAAAAGGTAATGCAGGAACAATTTTTCAAACCATGCTACTTGAAATCGCATCTATTAAGACAGTGCCACAGAATACATTAGATGCGACTTCAGGTGCGATTTGTAAATCGCATGTTGCACCTGAAGTCACAGCGGTGTGAACCAGGGCTCAGTGAGTAATGATATACAGTAATGTCACCATTGCTTGTCTGGAATAGAATTTGGGGGGGGGGAGTATTTCCCTGTAAGCAAGGCAAGCAACATGACCCCAACCCCCATACCGTCTTGTCCTAGATCAGGCTTTCTAGTTAACCCCTTCACACCTAAGGGTAAAACAAATTTTAATGCCTAAGCACAAATTTGCAACGTTGACATGTGTTGGTAAAACTGTACTTCTCATCACAACTACTTTGTACATCCAGGTGAATTATACCTTGTTTTTTTTTGAGGACAAATTAGGCTTTCATTTGGTGGTAAATGGTAACGGATATCTCCTGATTTTTTTTTTTTTATTATCAAAGAAAAACTGGCCCAGAATAGTAAAAAAAAATGTTTTTTAATTTAGCTGTGTGTTTCTTGTTCCTACCATAACCTAACACCAAAGGACAACCCAAAATAAATTTTCCAGCTCTTGGCGATCGCAACGTTACAATTTTGTGTATGTTATTTGTTGTTGTGTACCTGTAGGACAGCCCAGAAATAATAGTGCACATCTTGTTTTTTGTTTTTGTTTTTTTTTTTTTTTACCTAAAACACACTGACACTAATACCAATTTAAAAAAAAATCCTGACCCTGATCTTGACCCAACCACTTACCCTGGCGCTGAACTAGATCAAACCTTGATCTAAGTATTTTTTTTTTTTATTTTTTAATATTTATTTATCGTTTTTTTTTTTTTTTTTTTTTTAAACAAACATTTTCCCCCCTCTATGCCAGGAGTTACAGAGATACAATGTATCTCTCTCCTCCATTCATAGAGAGAAAAAAAAACAAGTTGGCCGGGCTGTACAGTGACTGATCACTGTGATAGCCAATCAGAGGCTATTACAGCAGTCATGTGACGTGGGACCCGAAGCTCTCAGTGACACCCCGATCTTTGTGCTGGGAGCGCGCTGTGCAGTACACTCCCAGCACAAGGACAGGTACATAAATATGCGGCCCCATAGAAAAAAGCCCAGTTCTGTGAGGCTGCATATTTGTTTGACATCGGCGTCAAGGGGTTAAAAAATATAACTAAAGGCAAAACAATAATAGAGAGGAAATCCTCCAATGAGGATACTAGTTCTGTTGCCCCCCCGATGACACTTCGGGATTCCCTCACGTTGGAGGGATCTCCTATTTTGGCTGCAGGACAGGAAGTTGAGGGAAATCTCTCCAATGGGGAAACAGATGACAAAATAAAAACTGACAGTGGTTATAACCTTCCCTTATTGTATCCAAAATCAAAAAAAAATGTTGGCTTTAGTTCTTTTAAAGCATAACTTTATTCTCTTAATCAACATTGACTATTTTTAATCCTTATGCTGCTACCATTAGTATTATTAGTGGTATTTGATCGCCTGTGCGATTTTTTTATTTTTTGCACTATAAAAAAAAGACCGACAATTTTGAGAAAAAACAATATTTTTGACTTTTTGCTATTAAACAAGTCCAGTAAAAAAAATTTAAAAATCAAATTTCGTCATAAATTTAGGCCAAAATGTATTCTGCTACATGTCTTTGCTAAAAAAAAATCCCAATACGTGTAAATTTATTGGTTGACGTGAAAGATATAATGTTTACAAATGGTGGAATATATACTGGAATTTTGTTTTTAATTTTTACTAGTAATGGTGGCGATTAGCGAATTATAGCGGGACTGCGGCAGGCATTCTGACACTGGGGGAAACTGATTTGGTGTCAATGACCTCCTCAGTGACACCAATACAGTGATCAGTGCTAAAAAAAAAAAAGCACTGACTCTGTACTAATGGCACTGGGAAGGAAGGGGTTAACGTGGGGTGATCAAAGTGTTAACTGTGTGCTGTTTAACTCTGTGCTGTGTCCGTGTGCTTCACTGTAAGCACACTGCTTTGGATGGCTGTGCTGTGCTCAGCCATCCAAAGCAGTGTGCACGAGCTGACACGGAGGAGAACTGTATTGTTTACATACAGTTCTCCTCCCTTTCGGAGATGCTCGTGAATCACCGGGCACTGACCTGGTGATTGGTGCAGGTAGGGCACACGATACGTGATTTTTTGCGCAACCGTGCCGCCCTGTAGCAGTATATCTGCTGTAGGGCTGTCGGGAAGTGGAGTTAGGCCTTAGAGTGCAGAAGGATTAGAACCCCTGTTATGTTTTTAATGCTATCTAAGGCCCTGTTCACACTGGCAGTGCCAACCCTGCATTTATATGCACTTGTAGAACATTTCTACAAACTATAAATGAATGTTATAATTTTTCAGTGGTGTCAATCAAACTCATCATTTAACTCTGCATTAGGTGTGGTCAGTTTAGCTGTGTTTAGAGAAAATAGAAATTTGTGTCCAGGATCTGATTAAACACTGTAAATGCATGCAAACACATCTAAACCCGCTTTAAAGCAGGAACATCTAAATGCAGTAAAAAGGGATCTGGCCCCCCCCGGCGTAACCACACCGCAATTCAAACTCATCCTGCAAATAACCACAGCGGCCAAACACGTTATAGCAAAATCTTGGAAATCCCCCACTTTAAGCATAGCCGCAGTTAACACTAGGGTAACTCAAGCTATGATACACACAAAGGTGGAAGCCACAATCCTTGATACAATCCCCAAGTTCCTGAATGTTTGGAACCCTTGGGTAGAACATTTCCTCCCGCAAAATTTTGACAAATCACTCCTCCTTCCCTAATATGCAAAGTGTGAAAGTGCGCATTTCCAGTACTAACCTGGTACCACTCTTAACCGAATACACAAAGGATTATGTCCTCCCCTGTTATCCATGGAGTCATCTCTATCACCCTTCCCCCCCCCCGGCCCCCCCTCGGTCTATCCTTCGCTCCATATGCAGCACTGGAGAGTCATTACTCACACTGATTGAACTCATTATGGTTTGTTGTTGTTTCTTTCTATTACTAATCTTTATTTACTCAATACCATAAGTTATGTCGCACTGTTTCTTTGAGCCTCTCTCTCTCCTTCTATATAAGGACATTGAAACTGCATTTTTTCCCCCTGTATTTTGCTGTCAATGTACTGTCCAATGCCTGCTGTTAATGTCCCCCTTCCCATGTTATAATACCAATAAAAAGTTTGAACAAGAAAAAGGGATCTGGGAAGCATAAAAGCTAAACACAGGAGTCCAAGTGTGAATGTTGGCAGCAAATATGTCCTAGAAATGACTCAGAAAACCTAAAAGCTAGATTCAGCCAGGCAACTCACATTTTCAGGAGATCCCAGCAGGGGTAGCCTTTTATGTTTCTTCTGACAGCCTTTTTTTTCCTCTCTTAGTAGTGACAAAGACCCTTCGGTAATGTTGCTTTGCCTCTGTTTATGTTTCCTTAGGTGAACTGTAAGCATGACGTTATCCTTCAGAATTAACAGGCCGGCTCTGGCCTACTCCATGACCACATTAGGAGCTGGAATGATGAACCATATATTTAACTTTTATTACGTGAAGCTGTTTCTTAACCGGTACAAAATATCTGAGGGATCTTTTCATCAAGCTCAGGTACTATAAATATTTGTATTTCTGAGCAAGTGTACCCACATTAACACATAGCTCTAATTAAAAAATATGCATTTAGTAGCCAAAATACTATTCTGAGTCTTGCAGGGGCGGTAAAAACAGGCAGTTGAGCACAGTTTTTATAAACTGACGGTTATCAAGTTAACATGGCCAGTGTCCATGTTGGTATACGCTGCTGCAGTCATGGCATGGCAAAATTTACACCACCTGTCTCATTCAGCAGGCAGTACGGGCACCAGTTATGACACATTCACTTAAATAGGGGCCGTGCTGCAATTGTGTGATTTGTACACTTCGAGAAGGTCCCACATCAGTTAAAATTTGATGCAATTGGAACAAAACACTGACATGAGTAGGGGTCCTGTGTACACAAACATTAGCTAACAGAAAATGCTTTGCATTCCTTCGAAAAATGCAAGACATTCTCTGAGTGGCACCTGTGCCAAGCAGCCAACCTCCTGTATTCAGAATGCAGCAAGCCAGCAGCTCAGCACAGGACCCAGCAAGTGGAGATCACTGGAGTAGTAGTGTCTACTTGAGCGATTTCCAGCTTCCAAGGGCATTGGTCAAGTATAATATATTCATAGTTACATTGATCCAAGCTGGTTCGATGTAACTATGTAAAAAATATCTATACCTGAAATTCATCTTTAAAACGGAGCTTCACCCAAAAGGGTAATTTTTTTTTTTTTTTCTTTGGGGTGGAGGGAATGGGTACCAAGTTTTGACAGGTACCCACTTCCACATGGATCACCTAGATCAGCGGTTCTCAACCTGGGGGTCGCAACCCCTTTGGGGGTCGAACGACACTTTCCCAGGGGTCGCCTAAGACCATCGGAAAACACATATTTCCGATGGCCTTAGGAACCGAGACACCGCTCCTCTATCCGACTCCAGGTGTGGGCGGGATGACATGCCGTCCCTGTCATCTGGACACACCCCCGGGATCAATCCTCGTCGGTGATTGGCCGCCGGAACTGTAGCTCAGGAGATGCACACAGGCGGCCAATCACCGGCGAGGAGGTGGAGCTTGGAAAGGAGGAGCCGAGCGGAACCGCGAAGATCGAGCGAGTGAAGAGGAGGAGAGCGGCCGGAGAAGGAAGACATCTGACCGGTAAGTGTCTGTACCATGGGAGAGGGAGGGAGCGAGCGAGCCCAGGCTGGAGCAGGGGTCAGCAAGGTAAGTATCATTGGTGTCAGTGGGAGCAATAGTGCCCAATCATTGGTGTCACTAATACCAATGATGGGGCACTATTCCTCCCACTGACACCAACGATGAGGCACGATTCCTCCCCCAAATGACACCAACGATGGGGCACGATTCCCCCCCACTGACACCAACGATGGGGCACTATTCCTCCCCCCACTGACACCAACGATGGGGCACTATTCCTCCCCCCACTGACACCAACGATGGGGCACTATTCCTCCCCCCACTGACACCAACGATGGGGCACTATTCCTCCCCCCACTGACACCAACGATGGGGCACTATTCCTCCCCCCACTGACACCAACGATGGGGCACTATTCCTCCCCCCACTGACACCAACGATGGGGCACTATTCCTCCCCCCACTGACACCAACGTGGGGCACACTATTGCTCCCCCTGATACCAACGATGGGGCACTATTCCTCCCACTGACACCAACGATGGGGCACTATTCCTCCCACTGACACCAACGATGGGGCACTATTCCTCCCACTGACACCAACGATGGGGCACTATTCCTCCCACTGACACCAACGATGGGGCACTATTCCTCCCACTGACACCAACGATGGGGCACTATTCCTCCCACTGACACCAACGATGGGGCACTATTCCTCCCACTGACACCAACGATGGGGCACTATTCCTCCCACTGACACCAACGATGGGGCACTATTCCTCCCACTGACACCAACGATGGGGCACTATTCCTCCCACTGACACCAACGATGGGGCACTATTCCTCCCACTGACACCAACGATGGGGCACTATACCTCCCACTGATACCAACGATGGGGCACTATTCCTCCCACTGACACCAATGTTGGGGCACTATTGCTCCCCCTGATACCAATGATGGGGCACTATTGCTCCCCCTGATACCAATGTTGGGGCACTATTCCTCCCACTGACACCAATGATGGGGGCACTATTCCTCCCACTGACACCAATGATGGGGGCACTATTCCTCCCACTGATACCAATGATGGGGGCACTATTCCTCCCACTGATACCAATGATGGGGCACTATTCTCCCACTGACACCAATGATGGGGACACTTTTCCTCCCACTGATACCAGTGTTGGGACACTTTTCCTCCCACTGATACCAGTGACACTTTTGGGACACCTTGGGGCACTATTCCTCCCACTGACACCAATGATGGGGCACTATTTCCTCCCACTGACACCAATGATGGGGCACTATTCCTCCCACTGACACCAATGATGGGGCACTATTCCCCCACTGACACCAATGATGGGGCACTATTCCCCCCACTGACACCAATGATGGGGCACTATTCCCCCACTGACACCAATGATGGGGCACTATTCCCCCCACTGACACCAATGATGGGGCACTATTCCCCCACTGACACCAATGATGGGCACTATTCCCCCCACTGACACCAATGATGGGGCACTATTCCCCCCACTGACACCTATGATGTGGCACTATTCCTCCCACTGACACCAACGATGGGGCACTATTTCCCCCACTGACACCAACGATGGGGCACTATTCCTCCCACTGACACCAACGATGGGGGCACTATTCCTCCCACTGACACCAACGATGGGGCACTATTCCTCCCACTGACACCAACGATGGGGCACTATTCCTCCCACTGACACCAACGATGGGGCACTATTCCTCCCCCTGACACCACCAACGATGGGGCACTATTCCTCCCACTGACACACCAACGATGGGGCACTATTCCTCCCACTGACACCAACGATGGGGCACACTATTCCCACTGACACCCGATGGGGCACTATTCCTCCACTGACACCAACGATGGGGCACTATTCCTCCCACTGACACCAACGATGGGGCACATTCCTATTCCTCCCACTGACACCAACGATGGGGCACTATTCCTCCCACTGACACCAACGATGGGGCACTATTCACTCGATGGGGCCTATTCCTCCCACTGACACCAACGATGGGGCACTATTCCTCCCACTGACACCAACGATGGGGCACTATTCCTCCCACTGACACCAACGATGGGGCACTATTCCTCCCACTGACACCAACGATGGGGCACTATTCCTCCCACTGACACCAACGATGGGCACTATTCCCCTCCCACTGACACCAATGATGGGGCACTATTCCTCCCACTGACACCAATGGGGCACTATTGCCCCCCTGATACCAATGATGGGCACTATTCCTCCCACTGACACCAATGATGGGGGCACTATTCCCCCCACTGATACCAATGATGGGGCACTATTCCTTTCACTGATACCAGTGATGGGACACTTTTCCTCCCACTGACACCAGTGATGGGGCACTATTCCTCCCACTGACACCAATGATGGGGCACTATTCCCCCCCACTGACACCAATGATGGGGCACTATTCCCCCCACTGACACCAATGATGGGGCACTATTCCCCCCACTGACACCAATGATGGGGCACTATTCCCCCCACTGACACCTATGATGGGGCACTATTCCTCCCCACTGACACCAATGATGGGGCACTATTCCTCCCACTGACACCTATGATGGGGCACTATTGGGGCACTATTCCTCCCACTGACACCAATGATGGATGGGGCGCTATTTCCTGACACCACTGACACCAATGATAGGGCACTATTCCTACCACTGATACCAATGATGGGGCACTATTCCTCCCATTGACATCAATGAGTGATGGGACACTATTCCTCCCATTGACATCAGTGATGGGACACTATTCCTCCCACTGACACCAATGATGGGGCACTATTCCTCCCACTGCAAAATTACAGTTATGAAGTAGCAACGAAAATAATTTTATGGTTGGGGGTCACCACAACATGAGGAACTGTATTAAGGGTTCGCGGCATTAGAAAGGTTGAGAACCACTGACCTAGATGATCCAAGCTGAAGTTCCCTCCCCCTTCCACCCCGCAGTGATCTGGGACATGTCACAGATCCCAGAAGGCTGAGGGACCATTCACAAAGCAAAGCACGGGTCCCCGCATGCGTAGTGGGGAGCTAGTTGTGATGCTGTCACAGCTCAGTGTCCACACTTAAGATGCTGGTGCTGGAAACCTGAAGGCTAGTGAAGAACTAGCCTAGGTGAGGACAGCGCTGGATCTCTGGACAGGTAAGTGTCCTGTTATTAAAAGCTAGCAGCCTAAAGGATTTGCAGCTGCTGACTTTTCATTTTTTTTTGTTGAAGAGTGGGGACCTTTAAGCCCAGAGAACGAGATTGTAGATGCAGGAGCCAACAAGTTAATGCATAAATATTCATGTGTGTGTATAACCTGAATAAGCATGTTTATGCTTTAAGTGGATCCAGCATAAACCGGCATTATCTCTGGTGGACAAAAGAAGCCCAACCTAGATGATTTATTTCCAAGTATTCATTAGGCCAGAGGGTATCTGTAGAGATTTCACATTGCCTACGCTTTTTTCGTGGCCCAGTGTAATCAACCAATCACACGTCTCTGGGTACCTCCGGGACAGCCTAAACCATGCATTTTAATAAATTATAGGGTGGACCAGACTAGTGAGGCTTTTCTTTAATGTGAGTGAGACATCACTGAACAGACATAAATGCTTGTTATGTGTAAACATTTATTATCCAGAAGGAAAATAAGTCATAAGGTGGATCTAGGAAAAGTAAAAAGCAGGGAAAATGGAAGAGGTATATCTTGGTAGTCTGCATACCTGCAAAAATGTGCCTTGTGGAACGGGCTAAATACTGAAAGACCTGTCACCGCAGTAGTGGCATGTACAGAAGTGCATGTTGGTACAGAGGCAGGCATCTGTGCAGTGGTGAGTGATTTGGGGGCATGCGAAAGAGGAGGATGGGGGTCAGGTGCATTGTTGAGAATGAGGGTATTGTACAGGGGAAGCAGGATGGGGGTCAGGTGCAATGGTGAGAAAGGGTATTGTAGAGGGGAAGCAGGATGGGGGTCAGGTGCAGTGTTGAGAATGAGGATATTGTACAGGGGAGGCAGGATGGGGGTCAGATGCAATGGTGAGAATGAGGGTATTGTACTTGAATCAGGATGGGGGTCAGGTGCAATGGTGAGAATGAGGGTATTATACAGGGGAAGCAGGATGGGGGTCAGGTGCAATGGTGAGAATGAAGGTTAATATACACGGGAAGCAGGATGGGGGTCAGGTGCAATGGTGAGAATGAAGGTATTATACAGGGGAAGCAGGATGGGGGTCAGGTGCAATGGTGAGAATGAGGGTATTGTACAGGGGAAGCAGGATGGGGGTCAGGTGCAATGGTGAGACTGAGGGTATTATACAGGGGAAGCAGGATGGGGGTCAGGTGCAATGGTGAGAATGAGGGTATTGTACAGGGAAGCAGGATGGGGGTCAGGTGCAATGGTGAGAATGAGGGTATTATACAGGGGAAGCAGGATGGGGGTCAGGTGCAATGGTGAGAATGAGGGTATTATACAGGGGAAGCAGGATGGGGGTCAGGTGCAATGGTGAGAATGAGGGTATTGTACAGGGGAAGCAGGATGGGGGTCAGGTGCAATGGTGAGAATGAGGGTATTGTACAGGGGAAGCAGGATGGGGGTCAGGTGCAATGGTGAGAATGAGGGTATTATACAGGGGAAGCAGGATGGGGGTCAGGTGCAATGGTGAGAATGAGGGTATTGTACAGGGGAAGCAGGATGGGGGTCAGGTGCAATGGTGAGAATGAGGGTATTGTACAGGGGAAGCAGGATGGGGGTCAGGTGCAATGGTGAGAATGAGGGTAATGTGCAGGGGAAGCAGGATGGGGGTTAGCTGTGCTGGTGAAAACAGAGGGGGGTTGAGTTGGCATGACAGCGTGGAGCGGGGGGCTTTTTGTTTTTGGTATGGTGGTGATCAGGTGCTTCCAGGCACTGGGATGAGGAGGGGGGAGGCAGGGAGTTGCAGGTGCTATGGTGGTCAGTGAGCTGTGCCTCTGCTTCCAGCTGTAACTCCAGATGCTAGTGGTAGACCTCCCATCCAGCAGCAGAGGTTGGGTAGAGGGATCGGTAGTGTGAGCTGCCTTGCCTGAGATTACAGTGCCTGAGCCGCAGCAGAATGTGGGAGTAGGGAGGTAGTGTGAAAATGTGGTTACAAATGTGACCCCTAGGCCCTTTTAAGTAGGACACCACTCTTGTAGAACATTGGAACTGTCACCACTGGCTTGGGACATAGAGAATCCAATGCTGTTACAATAGTTGCTGCAGCTTGTCAGGGAGGTTGGATCTCAGCTGCAGAGCACTTGTTGTCATAGTCCAGAAGAGATGAGGGCTGATTCAACCTTGTGTCCACCCAAAACTGTTTTTTATGAGATTGCAATCGACATGACCTTTATTAGAATATCTTTTATTTTATCTTTTAGGTTGTGTTCATGATCTGGAATGCCATCAATGATCCTTTATTTGGGTACATACAAGATAATTCAAAGTCAGACTTCTGCTCTATACGCCGCAGGTCCATCTTATTTGGAGCACCATTTTATGCTTTGGCCTTCCTAATACCTTGGTTTCCCTGGAAAGATTACACAGAAGGTGAATGGCTTAGTGGCATCCATCTTGTTGTAGCACTGTGTGTGTTTGATGGCATGCTTACCTTTGTTCTGCTTGCCCAGTGTGCCCTCTTTGCTGAGATTTCAACGAAGCACGAAAGCCGTCTTCAACTCATTAAATACAACCAGGTGGCTTCGCTGCTGGGCTCCTCAAGCATCCTTTTTTGTGGACTTATATCTGATAACATGGAGAACATTACAAGATTTCAGACATTCACTTTGTGCGTGGCGGTACTGTCCACTGTATGCATGTGTTTATACCGGTTTGTTTGGAGTGACCCAGTATGAAGAGAAGTTTCTGGAGGGCAGCAGCCGGTCAGACACCTCACTATCCTGGTCCTCTGTTCTGAATCTCACTAAGCAGATCCTCACTCAAAAAAACTTTCTTCTATTTGTGTCTATGAACTTTTTTCAAGTTTTCCATGCTACTTTTTGCAGTAACTTCATGATGATATTTGCTGATAACCTAATTCCCAAAGACGCTCTTCCTTCCTTTGTAAGAAGCATCATGTATGGAGCCGGATCTATATTTCCTCAGGTAAGTGTCACTTTACAATTAGCAGTTGTTGAGCCATCAAAATAAATCCACAAACTGTTTTTTTGCAAAAACATTACCGAACAGTTACACTTGCATATATTTAAAACGTACCATAAGTTCTGAATAATTCATGAGGTTACTGACTTTTGCACTTTACTTGTTTCCTTAATAAATAAGCCTCTGGGCTTATCACTTCAGTTTATATTTTACCAGATGATAAAAATTTCTTTGAATTATGCTGTCAGCCATTGAAGGCTAGAAAGACTGAGAAGAAGCTTCCTTCTATAGGTTTCAGGAAAAAAACAATGATTTGTATAACAACCCCCTGATTTCTATGCTACCTAAAATACCTTGAAGCCTAACTTCTTCTGAAACTAGTTTAAGTTTTTTTTATTGCTGTCTTTGGCTTCACCGAGGAGATCGGGGGTCTCTGGGACTGAAAGTTACAGACAGTAAAGAAGCCTTACTTCTGAAAACCCGCAGTGTCCTGTCTTTATGATGCCCCCTGCCGGTGGGACGGGAAGAGGAAATCTCCCCAGTGAGGACACAGAAAACAATAGACACCTAATAGATGTTCTACCCTTTCCCCACTTTATAGGACACCAGAAAAAAGTCTTGATTTCTGTTGGTAACTTCTTTCTTTATTGGCTTTTGGGTATAGGCCCAGCCTGCTCTGTTAGCATGGAATGAAATTGTTCTAAGCTAAGTACAGATGGAAACTTTATTCAGGTCAGCATCTCAAGCCTGTGTTACTTGAGCAGCATTTTACCTGCCCTCTTTGTTAAAATATATCTTGGCTTATTCAAACTTTGACCGAATTTCTAACTCTTACCGAATGCTGCTATAGCTTTAGTATGGGTGTTAGACAGGCAATAATGAGCTTTCGTAGGGGCGTTAGACTGGCTTTTTACAAGTGTTAAAAATGCTTCCCAAATGCCCTATGTGCAGTTTTGAGGTGTTTAATAAGTGTTTTACAAGTGTTAAAACCACAACACAAACTAAATAAACTGTAATGTTATTGACACTCCGCAACAGAACCGCAAACACCTGCCAGTGCGTTTGAGGAACGTCACCATAGACTTGAATGGGAAGCGTTGAAAGGCTTCAAACTACTGACTCAACATGAGGCTTCAATTTTGAAGCAACGCAATGCTTACGCTTCATGTTATGAAAATGTGTGCTGCCCATAGTATCATTTACTATGCCCCTCAAACTCCTGCTTTCATTGCCAGTGTGAACTAGGCCTAAGGAAGAAGCAGTGCAGATTATTGCACAAATGTTGTCTAAATGTTGCCTGCAGTGTTTGAGCCAAAACTTTACAAAGCCACACTCCTGAAATGCAAATTTGTGCTAAGCTGGTCTGAGATCCATTCTCTCAAAGCTCTGTGCCAAGAACCCTCATACAGTGTCAGTCTATATGAGCTCTTGGAGCCCTGGTGCCCAACCTGTGGTCCAGGAGCCACATGCAGCTTTTGGTACTTATTTTGAGGCTCCATCAGTCAGTAGTGGGAGCATTGATTTGTAAAGATGCTACTAAAGCCACAACAGTAAAGTCAGCATGTATATGCAGTAAAGCATGCTTGTTATACTCGCTGTGGAACCTAAGCAGTTAATCCCCTGTATTGTGTGAAAAGGCTGTTTGATCCTGTCTTCTATGATCCTCCCCTTCTTTTGCTGTCCCCAATCCATCTGCTATAAATAGAGCAGCAGTGGCAAGTCTGAACTTGCTCTGTTTGGTTGTGTATTGCTAGAGAGTTTCTTTTATTTAGAAGGGTGCATATGATCAGCACAGGGCCAATCAGCGCTGTCCAGACAGAGGGTCAGGGGGGTAATGCAGCATCATAGGACAGTCGGAGGAGAATGAAAACTCTTCCTATGAAATTAACCAGTGCTCGGCCAGACACTGATACATTTCACAAGATTACTGTATACTGCTGATGAGAAAAGGTATTTAGCAGTTTATATTATTTACTAAAATAATTGCATTTCCATGTTGTGTGTACTGTGGAAGACCCGGATATATTGAATGAAGGGTCATGGGTTTAGTAACACTTTAAGGCAGTAATTTTTAGCAGCCTCTTATAACATTTTCTCAGTCTCCAGCTCTTAATCACACCTGTCTCATGTGCGTAGTCTCTGACCATCTCCAGTGGTATGTTAGCAGTCTCTGACAATCTTCTGTAACACTACATACAGTGGGGAAAAATAATTTCATCCCCTGCAGATATTGTAAGTTTGCCCACTTAAAAAGAAATGAAGGGTCTATAATTTTTATCATAGGTGTATGTTAAATGACACATAATACAAATGTTATAAATTGAGTTGCACTTCAGTGCGGAAGTATTTGATCCCCAAGCAAAACATGATCTTGTTGGTAAGCACATAAGTAAGACATTTCTTGTAGTTGGTTACCAGGCTTGCACACATCTCAGGAGGGATTTTGGTCCACTCTTCTTTCAGATCTTCTCTAAATATTTAAGGTTTTTTGTCTGTCGCTTGAGAGCTCGAAGTTTCAGCCATAAATTTCCTATAGATTAAGGTCTGGAGACTGCCTAGGCCACTCCATGACCTTAATGTGCTTCTTCTTGAGCCTCTCCTTTGTTGCCTTGACGGTACATTTTGGGTCATTGTCTTGCTAGAAGACTCATCCAAGACCCATGTTCAGTGTTCTGGCTGAGGGAAGAAAGTTCTCATCCAAGATTTTACAATACATGGCCCTGTCCCTTGGCCCTTCAATGAGGCAAAGTCGGCCTGTACCTTTAGCAGAGAAACAGAACCAAAGCATAATGTTTCCAAATCTGTACTTGACTGTAGGAATGGTGTTGTTAGGATTATAGTCAGAATTGTATTTTCTCCAAACACAGCGAGTTGAGTTAATGTCAAATGCTCAATTTTGGTCTCATCTGTCCATAGCACTTTCTCTCAGTCCTTCTCTGAAGCATTTAAATGTTCATTGGCAAACTTTGGATGGGCCTGTACATGTGCCTTCTTGAGGAGGGGGACCTTGTGGGCACTGCAGGATTTCAATCTATGGCGGCGTATTGTGTTACCAATGGTTTTTTGTTTTGTGACTGCAGTCCCAACTGCCTTAAGATCATTCACAGGCTCCTCCTGTGTAGTTCTGGGCTAATCCCTCACTTCTCATGATCATCCTCTACCCCATGAGGGGAAATCTTGCATGGAGCTCCAGACCGAGGTCAATTGATGGCTATTTTGTATTTCTTTCATTTGAAAATAATTGCTCCAACTGTCTTCTTCTCACCAACCTTCTTGCTGATGGTCTTGTAGCCCATTCCAGATTTGTGCAGGTCTACAATCTTGTCCCTGACATCCTTTGACAGCTCTTTGGTCTTGCCCATGGTGGTGAGGTTTAAATGAAAGAGATTTTGTTGACAGGTGTCTTTATATACACATTAGGAGCACCTTCTTAAATTGACAGGACTAATCTGTGTACCACATGAGCACATAGCCAGTTTGTGGGAGCCAGAATTAATGTTGGTTGGTAGGGGATCAAATACTTATTTTACTCAGTGAGCTGCAGCTCAATTTATAACATTTGAATCATGTTTTTTCTGGATTTCTGGTTGATACTCTGTGTCTATCATTTAAACTGCACAGGACTAGACCCTTCATTTCTTTGTAAGAGGGCAAACTTACAACATCTGCAGGGGATCAAATAATTATTTTCGCCACTGTATGCTGAATATTAAGTGCACTCCCCGGGGGATCTCAGCAGTCGTAGTTGAGGACCCCTGGATCTAGTAAGTGGACCACCATTGCCTTAAGGAGTGTCTTGAAAGTCCACATCCAGATCCACATAGACTCACCTTTTCCACACTCCCTCCCTGTTTTGTTGCCCTATCAGAATCAGAAATCAACCTCTGTGTAAGCTCCAAGTCGTATAATGTCAGAGTTTACAGGCAGGGTTCTAGATACCCTTCCCCTCACATGTCTGCTGTTTGGCCAATCAGATTTGAGTACTGAATCCTAACAGGAGGTCACATGCTCTCTCTTAAAGTGTTACTGAACCCAGGACCCTGCATTCACTATATCTGGTCTCCCACAATACATACATCATGGAAATGCAATTAATGTAGTAAATATAAACTGCCAAATACCTTTTCTTATCAGCAGTCTTGTGACTTCTATCAGTGTCCATCTGAGCACTGGTAAAGCTTGTAGGAGGACAGTCAGAGGAGAATGAAAACTCCTATGAGGCTGCATAACCCTTGACCCCTCTATCTGGACAGTGCTGATTGGCTCTGTGCTGATCACATGCACCCTCCAAAGAAAAAAAACTCTGTAGCCATACGCACTAAACTGAGCATGTGCAGAGTGACTCCTAGAGCTCTGTACTATTAGCAGATGGATTGGGGACAGTAGAAGAAAAGGATCAGAGAAGACAGGATTCAACAGCCTTTTTACACAATGTGGAGGATTAACCCCTTAGGTTCCACAGTGAGTATAACAAGCATGCTTTACTTCATATACAGACTGATTTTACTGTTGTGGGTAATAGGAATACTTTAGTAGGAAGCACCATGTATTTTTCCACGCCTCACATGGACCAACAAAATGGCTGTAGAGGTGTAACAAAGGTGAACAAAAGTGGCTTGGGACATGGGTTTTTATAAACACTCAGTAACTTTATCCTGAGTGAATAAATGACATTTTTGTAACATACTATCAGCTTTCCTATGATTTTAATTTTTTATATTTATATCGCACATGCAATCCTTTTCTATTTTTAATTTCAGTTTCTTGTGCTGATCAGTCACTCATTACTGTTAAACATTGGTTACTACAAGGTGATCCTATGGGGATTCTATGTGGAAGTCATTGCAGCCGCTCTGATGCTTTTAATAGGACCTCAGCATTACTATATTCTAGCTACATTCCTTGTCACTAACATGTAAGTAAACATCTCTATATCTGGTTTTTGTCATTGTCTTGTTAAAGGTTTACAGTTCATAAGGGAAATTGTTCCTGGTTCCTGT